CAGTTATAGCATAAGTATTTCTTATTTTTTACTGAAAAACATGCTGAATTTGATTAGTCCCAATCATGTGGACAAGAGTATTATTATGAACAAACTATTTATAAGCTTAACTACCTGTATTTTATTTACCAGGACTTCAAGAAAATGTGTAGAAATGTGGATGTGAGCTTTAGCTGTCAGTTTTTTGAAAATATTTCAGGGTTTTTTTCCTGTATAAGTAACATTATTTTCAGCAGTCAGGTGAACAAGTACTAGAGGGAAAACCTGCTAGAATCTTACTCTTACTTTGTGTGCACACTATACTTATCTGCTTGTATGGTATACTACTGTACTGTTCTATCATATGCAACTTATTAAACAGAAATGGATGCTGGCATGATGATACATTTATGATCACAAATGGAATAACAACTCTGATTTCCAAACCAGCTCGAAACAGAGTATGCTATAAAATTCCTTTTGCTTTTTGAGACTAGATTTTAAAGTGCATAAATTGTTTGTTTTACAGATTGTGTTTTGAATGCTTGTGTATTTTCTATTCCATCCCTATAGTCGATTTTAATCAAATTCCAGAGTTGTTTTTAGGGGAAAAATTCTTAGTTTGTTAACAAGCATGAGCTTGTACAAGCTTCTATTTAATAAGAAAGGTTGAGGGTGAAAACATCAGTTGCCTGAAGGAAAGATGGTTTGTTTTCATTTTGGGGTTTTATAGTGTCAGTTGCCTTTGAACATACTTAAGCACCTCTAGCTCAAAATGCTTATTAACAGTGCTTCTGAAATTGTAGTGAATAAGCAAATTCTTGTTGCTGACCCTTTAAGCACATTAGTGTTTCCAATTAGAATTCTATTTTTGTTTCTCTAATAATTTTTACATCATTAATTGTGGTGTAGACAAAACCTGCAGTCTGATTATTTTTTTTTCATGACTACTTTTTTCGTGCAGTGTTCTCATTATAAGGAACTATTATTAATATAATAAAAATTCCTCTTCTCTTGAACTGTGTTGATTTAAGGTAGGAACTACCATCTCAAAGCCTAAGTCTGCAGAATGGCATCTTGGCAAAAGGCATCTTAAGGACACCTGATGATAACTTTCCTCTGTCCCAAACCTCTTGCTTTCTGATGACAGCCATTAGTTTCAGAATTCTGTGATGGTGTCTTTTCTAGAAAATGACAAAATGGTGTATTTGCGCCATTGCTCTTGGGCTTTTCATCTTTTCTCATGTGTTTTGACATCACATCATCTCATGTTTGGCTCTAGTAAAAGATATAATGGCTAGCACAAGAATCAGCTTAAAAGAGTTAATGTTTGTTTTGTTTTGTTTTCTTAACCTAAATTATTGGAAAGGTTTCTCCTTACAGTGGAATTAAAATAGTAGGTTATGATTAAATGTTGCAACTGGTGACTTGTAATGAAAGCCTCAGTAATTTTTTAATAAAATATTAGAATACTGTTCTTGCATTTAAAGGTGAACAAACCTAATCAGCTATTTTGAAAACTAGACAATTGACTTAGAGCAATTATGGGTCTGCCTGTTTATATAGCACTTCAAACAGATTAAGTTGACTGTTGCAGTCTGTAGTGAAATTAAGTAGTACATAGACCACATTTTAGTGCATGTAGCTTTACTTGCGTATGGAAGAATATACCTTGTTTATTTTTTCTAGGTATCCCACAATGATGCTTCTTGTTTTCATTAAATTTGTTAAGTCATACACTTGAACAGAATAGAAGGTGAAGTATTGAAAAATAACTTGAATCTTAAAATTACTTTGGTACTGCACCCGGGATGAGCTAAGCAGAAGAAACAGCTATTTTAACTCTGCTACCCTGCAAATGCTTTAGGAATATACGTGGCTTGCTTTATGATGTTGCACTAGAACAGTTACTCCTTTTACATTTCTTAGATTTCATTTAGTTCCAAGTTACTTCTTTAAAAATAAAAAGTAAAAAAATCCACACACAGAGAAAAACCCAACCCTCCAACCCTTAAACTTATGACATTTTTCTTTCTTGTTTTTAAAACAAAAGGTTGTATTATTAGAAAGGTGTGATAGCTCCCAGTCAAGTCATGATTTGCTAAAGCATGGTGCGTGTTTGCTGTGATCAATAACAGTGAGAGAGAAAATGGCTGTAAAAACGAAAATTTCAAGCTTTTCAATTGGAATATGCCCTCCTTTAGAGTTGTTACTGTTCTGGGTTCTTATGCCAGAAAAGCTCAGATACTATTATTTGAGCAGTTTATCTCTGCTGTAATTTATTGAATTAACCCTTAAATTAATATCCTTTGGGATATCTCCTTCCAATAGAGAAGCTTGTGCTAAGAGATGCCTGTTAAAGAACTAGCAAGTTAATATTAGTCTTTTTTTTCAAGTGAGATGCTATCCTCTGCATGCCTTTTGCAAGCAAATGTTGACAGACTCATAGGAAATGCAGCTCATGTTAGGAGGCTTGGGTGGGGACTACAAGGAGCTGGCAAATACTACAGGATTTAGTGCCAGACTTGATGACACAACAGTACTTTACTTCTAAAAGTTTTCTTTAGGCTGCTAATTCTGTCTTCAGCATAACTCAAACTAAAGCAGTGGCTCTGATGCCAAGTTAAAATAGCTGAAGCAACAGTTTGAGAAATTGAGAATGCTGGTTTCTTTCCACAGCTTAGATCCTCAGAACTATTAGCAAGAACAAGCTCCTCGTTATGAAGGGATGAGTTAAGAATAGTGCCATAGAATGAAATCACTACAACACAAGCCCCATCGAACAGTAGATTAAGTAGCAAAACAGCTTCAAGAGGGAAAGACTAGCAGTATAAAGTATCTGTAAATACTGAGCTCTGTCTGTTTTATGTAACATTTTCCATTTATTTGGTTTGCCAGTGCATAGTCATAGTTCCTAAGACACACTTTTTATAGCTTCCCTTAGCCTTCAAATAAAAATTCTTCACTCCAAGTGTAACTAGACATGCAGAAATGCTATGTTGTCAAATGCGAATGCTGTTAACAGCAGTTTGACCGTATCACCTTAAGTATAATGTGTTTTGTCTTTAATTTACAAGATTCAGGTCTGTAAAAGCCTAGGGGGTAATAAAGTGAAGCTTTGAAGGTCATGAAACTGGAACCCCCACCTTCTGTTTGTTTTGCAGAAGTTCAGGCAGAGAATGAGTTGCTGCTGCCCTGCTGTCTCCATTTCTGTATGTGTGGGAGGGCTTTCAGGTGACATCATGGAGAGGAATCTTGCAGGGGGATGCATGCCTGACTTACAGAACGTGAAACTGTGCAATCTTGATGGAGGGATGCAGCTCTATTATGTAAGCGTATTGGCATTTTTTGGAATTCAGCATCACTCTTAGATTTTTTTTTTAGGAAGAACTTCCTTCCCTTCCCTGGAGTGCTACAAGTACTTAGCAGGACAAGTGTTGGAAAAAAAAAGAGATTCAGATAGTGAACTTAATCTGTTCAATGTTTGCTCCATGCTGCATGTCATGCCAAGTTAGCTTTAATGTTACTGCCCCTTCCAGGGTAAGCAGCTGCATTTTGCTCTCCCACAGAAGTAGAATCGTTGTAGGAGACTGAAGCGGCTCTGCCTAGAGCAAGTACATAGTAGTGTCTTGCATCTGTGGGAGGCACTGGCTTTTGCTGACCTCAGAAATGTAGATCATCTCTGAAGTCTCCTGTTCCCTGTTTATTTTATCAAGGTAAAGTGAAAGATAAGCAATATATAAATAGAAGGAAAGACTATTTTTAAATCATGGAGGGTTTTTGCATGAGCATTTGTCATACAAATTTAAGAACAGATTGAACAGATTTTATATCAGAGATCACCTTTATAATCATCTGTAACATTTCTCATCAGGTCAACTCTGACACTGATGTCTTTCAGACCAAGATTTGTCTTTTGCTGAAGACTAGCATTTAGAAAGTTTGCTTTTAAATATACAGTGTATAAGCTGGTGCTTTCTGAAAGCTGTGTTGAAAATTACTGTGAAACTTGACCGAATGAAGCTGTGCAGCACACTGTGAATTTTTTGTTTAGCCCTTGGTGGTAACCTATTTTCATTACTCTCAGGACATTCTATAGCACATCTGTAGGATTTACTGTTCTGTAGTGCCTGATGACTCCCAAATTGTTGGTTGTGTTGTGTTCCCTCTAAGGATTTAAATTTTCATTCCGAACCTGATCCTGGGTTTAACAGTGTGGATGTACACCAGAAGACATGTATGTCTTTGGTCCATGTAAAGGGCTTGGAGGACATGTTTGGGGAAGAGACTAGAGGCTTATTTAACAAGTGATTAATTTTATCTGTTATCACTCCCAAAAACCTTTGGAGAACATTGTGGTTATCTTGGTCATTCAGATTGGTTGAATGAAGGAGGGTCTGTTAGCTGTAGTAGTGACTATTTGCTTCCAGGGAAGAGTTTATTTGTTGGGTAAAAATTGTGCAGTTTCACTGAAGTGATCTGGACAGTGTCCAAGATTTAAACATCTCATGGAATGTATTGCTGGCATTCTCTGTGGCCTGTTTTAAGCATTTTCTGTTTACAGATGTGTAGTCAGTTATTTGCAGTGCAGTGAGACTGCACTTCCTGTGGGTTCAGTGGTGGTGCTTAACTGTGGTCAGCTGAATTCCTTGAACAGGAGTTGAATTTTTGTAATGTAAAGTCAATAGACTTTGCCAACAATAGCTGCCAATGAATGCACGTGCAAGGGTAGCATGAAATAAATTCTGATGATACATTAAGTATTGTGGACTCTGTTCTTCATCCTCTGCATGGTTCTGACAAAAGTGAGCTGCAAGAATGGCTTTTTAATTACCCATTGCAGCTTTCACATTAGCTCTTTACTTTTGAACAGTATTATAAAATGTGAATGTATGCTATTTTGATAAAGCTTACAGACAGACAGGTGCTTTGACTTAAGAACACTCCTTCAGAAACTTAGTGGCTGACACAAGTTTTCTTAGACTGATAAAATTTGAGTATCAAGCTTTCTTTCTTTTCAGATGGAGCAATTATCAGATGAAGAACTTGACCATGGTGCAGAAGAAGATAGTGATAAGGAAGATCAGGATCTGGACAAGATGTTTGGGGCCTGGCTGGGGGAATTGGACAAACTCACACAGGTTAGGGAGGTTTCAATCATCTCACAAAATAATTCTTTATAAGTATTACATGTTTCTTTTTGGTTGGATGCTAGCTGCTTGGCACTGCCGCTTGCAGCAAGGTAGGTTGTGAATAGCGTGTGACCAGTTCCATTCTCTTTAAAGGTTTCTAGTCTGGTTTATTTTTCCCATCTCAAAGTCATTAAATTCACTTTCCATAACCTGATGGTTTGACCTTTCCCAAAGGGTATGATTCCTTCTGACAGCTATGAAATTGTTATTTTGTCCTTGTGTATATAGTGAAGCACTGACTTTAGCTGGTTAGAGGTAGGCTATACCATAAAATGTATGGCTGGACATTGTCCAGCTATGACAGCATTTATTTGCTGCACTTGAACAGCAATAAAAAACAAGAAATTGTGAATGTTGCCACTGATGGCAAGGTAAAGTGCCCTGATGCACCCTAGAGGACTCACTTATTCCAGAATACTCTTCTGCATCAGAGAGGCAGCTGATCGAACATAATTTTTTAGCATTTCCTTTTTTCTAGTGCTTTTACTTTCCTTCATAAGCAGATCTTGCATTTTGTGTGGCATGCCAGACTAATGGAATGATAGGCCATTTCTCTGTGACTGCCTGCTGTGTTTTTTTCAGCTGTGTCAACTGACCCTCATGAATAATGTATTTTGTCTTCTCCCATTTTGTCACATAGACATAAGCAGGTGTGATACCACAAGTTTCAGTAAGCTAGAGAAGAGACAGCTTTTCTCATCTTCATCCTACTGAAAGACTGAGAGGAAAACTATGTGACAGCATTTCAAATTCAGGCACATCTGTTATCTTCAGGTTAAATCTTTGCCTGCAAGATCTAAGTGTAGATAGCACTACAGGGGATTATTTATTTATTTTTTTAATTTTCTGAATGTGTGCATGCAGAGCAGTAAAGAATGCTGCCTTTGGCATGAATGGGAGACAGTGTGAATGAAATCTGTATATCCTAATTGTTGTGTTTTAAACTTTCTGTGAAGGACTTTTAATGGTAAGTGGGTGCCATTTAGAGGAGCACAGTTGGCAGTTGTCGTAGACCTTTTGTTCTCTGCCCCATTTTTTTCAGGTATGAACAGCTTGGAAATATAACCATACTTTTTTCTGGAGCTTACAGCTACACTATTGACATACAGACTTTACAGTGATGTCTCAATTTGTGTGCTGATCCATGAAAAATTCTTAAAACCTACTGAAACAGATAGTTAAGCAGAGGACCCATATCTGTTTCTCACTTTCATGTTGGTGTACAACACGATCTGCAACATAGCATGACAGTTGCCCTTCTGTTTTTGCAACTACTGAGAAGTTATGTTTGCCCAAAAACTTAGAATGACCTCAAATGATTTTGTATAATAAACAAGTTAATGCAGTTGTGTCTCAGTTCATTTGTTTGGAAAGCGATGGTGTCTTTATGCAGCTGTCCCAATAAAGAGCTCCAAAGTGCAGTCTCTTGTAGTCTTAGCTTTTGTTGCTGTTTATCAGCTGTACACTAAGAGTAGGAGGAGGAAAGATTTTTTTGTCTGCAGGTTCCCTGAACTTTACCTTCCTTTTTATATTTCCTAAGTATTTTCTTTGGGGGCATTGAGACTAAGAACCAGATTCCTTTGCAGATGAAAGTGCTTTTTAAAAGATTTTAAATTCTTAAGATGCCCATGAGATCATTTGAATCCACTTTTTCGTCTTTAACTGTTATTCTGATAAAATATTTATAAAATGTAGTCACAAAAATTATAGCACATGTGAGCAGTGTTGGGCACTGATGCAGAGTGCATTAACATTTATCCTGCTCCATGGTGCAGGTTAAATGAAGGAAATCTTACATTGCTTCTCATGATCATTCAAAACTGAACTTTTGCTGCTGTTGCTGTTCAGTTCTTTGAACTACTGGTTTAGCATCAGAATGTGTTACAGAGAATGTGCTCTGATAATAGAGAGAACATATCACGTGTTTCCAAGGATCTGAAATTAATTATTACTAAATTCAATAAAACACATTTTAGAGGCTTTTAACCAGAAAATATTTGCTTTACAAGAAATCTTCTGTGACAGTCTGTGGGCTCAATCTGAAGGAATGAGTTCTAACTTGCCTCTTCTCCACTTTCACTGCTACCTTCTAGGGTTATAAATAGATTTAATTATATTTCTTTTATTTTTTCAGCTATTCTGTGTGGGACAATATGTAAGTTCCATCAGAGGTACTAGACTAGAGGTGAGGGTTTTCTTCCACCTGATGGAAGACAAGGCTGTATCACTGGCTTCTCATTAAGTGATGATAACAAAACCTCTTTATGAGGAAGTCTGTTTTTCTTTCTGAAGTTCAAGCCAAAGTGAGGAGACAAGGGAGTTAAGCAAAAAGAAATATTAGAAGGAAAGTAGTGAATTTGATTTTTAATGAAAGATTGAGTAAAGATGTAGAATATAGAAATAAAAAGCCTAGGTGAGAAATTTTATTCTCTTGCAGCTAGAAGATGCTTTTCTTTCAGACAAGCACATCTTTAGGAAAACTTCATCAGTACAAGCTTTGCTTAAATCTGAATTCTTTGCAAGGCTGTCAAGCCTCAACAGCAGCAAGAGCTAAATTCCCCATGTAACACTTGTCAGTCTTGGGGCAGCAGCTCTGGACCCTGTCATGCACCTCTTGGGTTACCAGCTGTTGCCACTTGCAAAAATGCTGGTATTTATGTATTATAATATTATGCCTGTATTAGCCTTCATGACATAACAATTTGATTTAATGGGTAGAAAGATATCTTGTTTATTTTCTATTAGTTTTTATTAAGAAATTAATCCTATGTAAATTGAGTAGGGATTGCTCTCACAATTTAACATCTTTCACAGGAAAGCCTTGTTAAGAAAAATGTATGGATTTAGCCAATTTAAAATACCTTTTAGGAAAACAGAAATCTTCATTGAATGCTTTTGTGTGCTTATGCCATGATTATTCTCTTAAGGTAATAATGCATGTCTTATAAAGGGTGCCACAGTTCAAACGTGTTTTGATACTTGTGCAATTTGCTGCAGAAAAGTTGGTACAGGAAAGCTAGCTGCCTGTGTTTTAAAATGAGCTGGTGTGTAGCATCACTTAAAAATGCATTTGGAATGTGTACCATCTTTTTGATTCTAAAAAAAACAGTATGTGTTTAACATACTTTCTGCAATGAATATTTAAAGCTAAACCTCTGTGGTATAGTGATGTTTTCTGTCTAACATCTGAAAATAGGTATTTTTAAAATACGCCATTTAAAAAAAAATATCTTGGAGAACATTAGTTTTCATTCATCTAGAAGATCTGGTTGTCCAGTTCCTTGTCAAACTTTATTCTGCCCATTTTTTGGTCTTTTTCAGAGTTTGGACACAGACAAGCCTGTGGCACCAGTGAAGAGATCACCTCTCCATCAGGAAACCAATCTTGCCAACTTCTCATATCGCTTTTCCATGTATAATTTGAATGGTTTGTTGAATTGTTTACCCCCTCAAATATTAATTTAGGAAAAATAACACCCTGTTGCATCTATGAGAATGTTGTAAAATATAAGAGTATTTAAATACACTCCTAGCTGAAGTGTGAATGTGTTTGCTGAAGGTATTGCTTTCTGCTGGTACAGGATTTTTAGTATTCTCAAACAGTTATCTTTTATAGCACCTAGTATCTGAGAATTGTAGCCTAGCATTCATACAGAAATGCATGCCGTCTCATGAAAGAATGAATCGATGGATAATTCTTAAACATGAAAAAAGAGAGCATCTTGCTTCATGGGGCAGAATGCAGGAATATAGCTAGAGAATGTTTTCACATTAATCAAAAATAGTGTTTTTCCTTGTCTTTATTTAGAACAATTTCCTATGGTTGTAATACAGGAAGCCTTAATTTAAAGGCTTGAGTATCTGTATAGTATTTTGTGAGGTTTTGGGTTTTTTTACAGCAGTGTCAGATTCCTTGAATTGCCTTAGCAGAAAATGCTTAGTGAAACACCTACATTTTTTTTTAAAGTTGAGGTATGATATTATAAAAATATGTTTCTAGATTCTGTTCATAGGACAGCAGTTTAAACTTTTCAAACATAATCTGAACATTCATAGATTTCTCCTGTCTGCCGATGTATTTGACAACATTTATTTTTTGTTGGTTTTTTTTATTGTTCTTAGACAGGTAAGGAATAGTAGTGCAAGTAAATTTCTGTTTCGCAGTAAGCGGAGATTTTGTTATACAGTTGAGAAAAGAAAGTACTGTTCCCTTATGCTAGCTGCTAAATTTGATAACACAAAGTGAGTTGCACAGGCAAGTGAATTAACTCTACATATACTGAAAACTCTTGTTTGTTGCAGAAGCCCTGAATCAGGGGGAGACTGTGGATCTAGATGCCCTCATGGCCGATCTCTGTTCCATAGAGCAGGAGCTCAGCAGCATTGGATCTCATTCAGCAAACAATGCTACAGTAAAACACCTTGCCACAGAATCCAAGGCTCAGAAACCACCTGCTAGCCGACCTTCTACTAAGCACAGCAGCATGAAAGGATTATCCTCCTCATCTGTTAAGGTGACTAAACCATCACATGCCAATGTGTCTTTGGATGACATCACTGCACAGTTAGAAAAGGCCTCTTTGAGCATGGATGAAGCAGCCCAGCAGTCTGTTGCAGAAGACACCAAACCAGTAGTTGCTGCTCAGCACAGGAGGACAGCATCTGCTGGCACAGTGAGTGATGCTGAGGTGCGCTCGATCAGTAACTCCTCTCGTTCAAGTGTAACTTCTGCAGCCTCCAGCATGGACTCCTTGGATATTGATAAGGTGACAAGACCTCAGGAACTGGACTTAACATCGCAAGGGCAACCGATCACTGAGGTAGTGTGTCATTGATTCAAGATTTTGGTTTGGTTTGGGGTTTTTGATCTTCAAACTCTTCCCACACACACATACACACACCTGCTGACACTCCTAGCTAAACACCTTCAGTGGGGTTGATTGAGATTGCTTTTGCATGGACTGCACATACTGTGGATACTTTGTTCTCTGTTTTTGTTTCTGTCTGCATGATACATTTTTTAAGAACATGTACATGCTTTTTTTAAGGGCTCTCCCCATCTCTTCCTCCTCCTTAGCCAGTCATGGATTTTAATGTTTTATCGTTAATGTATTTATTCTAAGTGAATCTCGTACATTGCTTTTAATTTAAATCTGATGGGTGCACAGCTGTAGAAAAAATCAAAGTACAAATGAGAAGGCTAGATTCCTGTTACAGTGCACATAATACCTCAAATGCATGGAGCAGTTTATGAGTGCCTGTCTAGAACGATACTATGTAATTCATTTGGTGCTACTTAATATTCTTGTTTTTAATATAAGACCAGAGAGAGTTCTTTGCAAGAATATAGAACACAGATACTGGACTGGGATACAGCACTAGCAGATGTTCATGGGATTTTGGTGCCTCAGTGTTGCTTAAACAGAGGGGAAACTTTTCAGTGAATTCACAGCCAGTTTTGGGGAACCTTGGAAGTTCTGGTAACTTCTTTGAGGAAACTGGGAAAACATTCCAGTGAACTAGAAGCTGTCTTGTAGAAATATCTGAAACAGAAATCTGGCCTGTTCAAAAGTCAGTTGTACTAATATGCATATTCTCTAATATGGGACAAAACTGGAACAAGCTGAGTGTATTCTAATCAATAATTAACACTAATTTGAATGAACTGTGCTGAAAGCATGCCTCTACCCATGTGCAGCAAAGTTCATCTGATGTAAAGAGTGAATGATGCAGGCTTGTCAGTGTAATGATCAACTCATCAAGGTCACATTTAAATTTAAATCTTTATTTGAAATTGTGAGAAATGAATGAGTGACGGTTCAGGTAAATATTCTTTCTGCATAAGAAATTGGTGTTAAATGTATTTTTATTGGAGATTTGTATTGAGTGAAGCAAAATAGAGGTGTCTTTTTCTCTTTGGAAAGTCAAAATGCAAACCTTTGCATTATTGCTGTAGGCCTAAGTGTTGGAGTCAGCCTATGACAACCATTGATTTTACTGTTGTTTGTTTGTGCATAATCTTCTTTCTGTGATATGATGAGTGTTATTTTTGGGCTTTTTTGATCTCTGACTGTTACTTGTGCTGATATATCTTTTTTATGTAGAAAGTTAGACAGTATTGCATTTTTCTTTCTACTCAGGCTAAAAAGATTATTTACTTGATTTAATTTCTTCTGTAACTTGCATAGCACAAGAAAAACTTGGAATTTTGCGTTTCTTAATTTTTAAAAATGCAGGATGTTTGTGGCAATTGGTTTTCCAGGTGTCCCTCTAGATATTAGCTTGTATTACTCCAGGAATGATAGGCTTGATGACTGCCCTTCTTGTCTCAGATTTTTTCAATTTTTCAATTTTTCACATGGTATGAGAAACCAACAGAACACCTGCTGCACTTAAGTAACTTGATGTTGGTAAATCAAGAGATAGGTCAAGAAGTTGCTTTGTCTTCATAGGACCTAGTCTGTATTGCTGCAAGTATTGCAGTTTCTATCTCAGTTGCTTTCTGAGCTATTAGCTACTGACTGCAAGGCTCAAAATTACCCCTGAAAGATTTCCTCACAAAGACATTCGAGGGTTACCGTTGTAAACCCATTGATTCCTTCTTGTAAGAATGTGGCTATTGTTTCTCTGCTGAGATAAGTAGGTAAGAAAGGTTTCTTTGAAGAAGGTAACCAGAAAGTGTTAGTAATAAGAAAGCCA